ACGCCCGGCTCGTAACAGATTCCGCACACCGCCCGCTTACTTTCAGACTTCCGGTGGTGCTCCTTTTGATTCGTTGACACGTGCTCCGTCGCCCAGAAGATTTTGCCACAACCAGGAGCGCAACACGTAAACGCCTGCGCCCCCGCTTCTGCTTTTCTCTTGCGGTTCGCCGCCTCTTCATGTGTGCTCCGCGCTGCCTTCTCTGTGGCCTCCGCGCGTCCCCGACACAGCCTCTCCCCGGACGCGCGACGTCTCTTCTGCGCTTCTGACATGTCCGCCTTCTCGTCGAAAAGCGACAGGCACGTTTGGTTCGAACACCGCACCGTGCACTTTTGTTTCCCTCCACATTGCGTTCCCATTGCGCGACATGCGTTTCGCTGTGATGCCCTTGCACTTCGCGCAGCACATGGTCCTAACCTTTTTTGTTTCCTCTGCTTCGTCCAATTCCGCGACGCCCCTGTCGCCATCGCACGGCGCGACGTCGTCTCGCTCCGCTGCGGTTGCCCATGTATTGCATGTTTTGCACCACTTCTCGTTTGCGCTAGTCATTTCCACCAAGCATTCTTTGCAGAAGGCCGCTCTCTTCCCAGGTACATGACGCACTTGACACGGACTAGGTCCGGGTCCATGAGTTCCCACAGTCGGTACTGCACCGTGTCCATGTCTGCGCTCGCCGCTCTCTCGTCCGCTCTGCTCGTTCTCACCCGAGCGCGCGCGGCACCGTGCCCGCCGCACGGGCATTCGAGCCTATCGCATCTCGGAAGCCATACGCTCGCCACGCGCAGAATAAAACTCCGCTCTTCGTCAACACTATACGCCGAAGGTTCGCAGAGGCCCGCGCCCACCGCCACCGCATCAGGGCCTCGCCGCGCTTTTCCCGCAAGGTTCGCAAAGGCACCCGCGCGCAGTTTGTTGTGATCCACTTCGTCGACTGAAGACTTCTCCATCGCTACGGCATTCGGCGTTCGCAGTCCGATGTCACGTGCCGCGGCCCCTACGGAGTCCCGAGCTCCATCACACGGCGCAGCATTCTTCTGCACCATGAGCTTGTCCAGCGTCGTGTCGCGCGGCAGTAGCCGCACAATCTCTGGCGGCGCCCCGCCCTTCGGTAACTGTTCCGCTTTCTGTTCCATGGCTTCCAGGTCTACATGTGCGTAAACCCGAAAGCCTCGTTTTTTCCATCATTTTGCTGTGTAGCTGAACTACATCTCGCCGAACGTTCGCTTGATGCATGAATCGAGGCAGACTGTCTTTCGTAGTCGCGTCTTTAATTTCCAACAGAATCTGAACAACGGATCCCAACTTTCCCCCTACATGAGGAACTGTTGATTCGTTCCCACGCCGCTCTTCTTTTTCAACCTGCCGCAGCTCCTGGAGCGCCCCTTGCCACGGCAACATGACGCTCGTCGCGTTTCCCCGCGCCGCCGACCAGCGGTCGTGAAAGCCCACCGCGCTGTCACATAATTCCTCCTTCCGCGGCTTTTCCTCCGCGTCGCTCTGACATTCCACCTCCGACGAAAAACAGATCATCCACGTGATACAGGGCCTGCACAATTCATCTCCATGACTGTCATGCCTTCGGTGTGCATGCGATCTGGCGCATAGAACGTCATCAAGTCATTCGCAAGACTCCACCGTGGGACTGACCGAAGAGTTGCCGGCCCGCGAGATCTTGACTGTTCCATGTCTGTTTTGCATTCGACGCATATTGGCACCCAGCAGTCAGCAGAAGCAGACCACCTACCTTCACACCCATTCACGCACTCCTGGTCTTCCGGGCAACACAACATGTTCACATCGCCGTTGGCCGTTGGAAGTGTCACGAACCAATTATCGAACTCTCCATTCTCCCATGCACGCTCTAAGTCCAGCGCCGGGTTGCCAGGCTCCGACCCATAATCCCTCAGGTATGCTTCTACGCTCATGCGCGCTCGCACCTCTGCAATGGTCCACGCTCCGACCTCGCTCACTGTCGCATGGTCTCCAGTGCTGGTCTTGAACACTCGCTCCCAGTCGATTTGATTACCGCGCCGACCCCGCACCCATGGAAACGTGCACGCGCAAATGAAACATATCCGGGATGCTCTGTTCTTCCGCGCCGCCCCCTTCGCGTACTGTTTGAAGCTTCGCCTGTGGAGGGAATGCGCGGACAATGGCGCACCCTTTCGACTGGCGCTTCCGACGATCTCGTGGTACGCTGCCTCCACTCGGAGCCTTTCCTCCTCGCCCAAGGGATTCACAATCTCGGCGATGGGCAGCGCGATATCCCAATGTTCCTCGGCCACGTGTTCATGCAACTCGTCGACAACTTCCAAGCGCCAAGTACACGCTTGGAAAGCGCGCAATGGACCCTTTGCACTTCGACGGCCATGTCCTCTGCCAACGCCTTCGCCCACGGTTGCGATGGATCTTGCGGGTCTGCGGGCACTGTCGAGTGACGTCGCACACGCGCAGCGGCGGCGGCCACGAGACGCTCTCGGGCTCGGTGAAGATCTGTCGACGCCGCGTCTACCCGGACTTGATAAAAGGCCTCTTGCATCGAATCCGCAACGGGCAAAAGGCCTTCTGAATTCGTCGTCGCATCCTCGGGGCCGCGCGCCTTGCCGGGCACCACGTCTTCACTTTCAACATCGCTTCTTGACGAACGTGCTCCCGCCTTGTCCACGCTTTTCCCTTTGTTCTCGTTTTCACGATGTGGCCGAAGGCCTGCGCCGCCCATGCCTTCTCCCCCGCATTCCCCCGCGCACACCGCGCCATCTCCACACCCTCCCGCGCCCCACGCCTCTCCGTCTACGCCCATTGCCCCGTCGCTCACGGCGTCAGCGGCTGCGCCGACCCCGTCGCCTGCGCATCGACCAGCGCATTCTGCGCCGTCGCTGCATCCTGTCCCGCCGTGATTTCCCCACGACGCTCCGATTCCCGCACGACGTCTGATGCCAATGGCAGGGGGCGCGGGGCTCGGGGGAGCCTTCTAGAAAACGCCCTGGGTCTCTGGAAAGGCGTGTACTTTGAGAGGCCGATCCCTGTCAGAGGCCCTACATTCTCATGATGACCACCTCGCGTCGCCGCCCCGGCGCCCTCAGATTTTTGCTTCAACGGTGCCTGGACGCCCCCCGAACCTGCTCGATGGACTTCCGAAGATCTCCAGGAAGGGGCGGGCGAAGGAGAGGGAGAGAAGTTTTAAGGCAAGGGATTCGGGGGCTCCGACAAGGGGAGGGCTTACTCGAGCCCAGCCTTTTCTCTGCTCGATTGTCCCCCGAACCGGCCCAGAGCAGGGCCCGAATAAGCCCCCAAGGAGCATCCCAAAGAAGCCCCGACCAAGCCCACAGGTGGTCCCTCAAGCCCCTTTGAGCGTAGGTGGTTTCGAGAGATTCCTTTGGCAACCGCCCGCTTCCCCTTCGGGGACGAGTTTAGCCCTTCGGCGCGCGTCGCGAGGGATGGGGCGCCTAAGAGGACCCAACATGGCTCCAAGAGGGCCTCAGCGAGCCCAAGATGAACCCCAGCCCGGGATGACGTCCAAGATGGCTCAAGGAAGCACAACATGGCTCAATATAGGAAACGAAAGCCTCCGAAAGACTCCAAGATCGCATGACGACAGGCTTCTGCGACCTCAAGACGGCTCCAAGAAGGCCCAAGATTCCTCCTGAACTCCGTCGGCGTGTGAAATGATGCCACCTCAACAACCCCTTCCCCCAGGAGCCCAGTACGAGGGATTTGGGAGAGGGAGGTCTCCCCCCAACCGACGCAACGCACAAACAATACATGCATTTATTTGGGGTCGGCGGCAGAGGCGGCAGCCTTTAAATATTAGTAGTAGTAGTAGTAGTAGTAGTAGTAGTAGTAGTAGTAGTAGTAGTAGTAGTAGTAGTAGTAGCAGTGGCAGTGGCAGTGGCAGTGGTAGTGGTAGTGGTAGTGGTAGTGGTAGTGGTAGCGGTAGTAGTAGTAGTAGTAGTAGTAGTAGTAGTAGTAGTAGTAGTAGAAGTAGTAGTAGTAGTAGTAGTAGTAGTAGGAGGAGCAGGAGGAGGAGGAGGAGGAGGAGGAGGAGGAGTGGCCGTATGTGTTGTAGTTGTAGTTCTTGTGATTGATGTTGTTGTTGGTGTTGCTGTTGCTGCTGGTGCTGTTGTTGTGTCATGCCTTCTTTCGCTAGGGCTCAACCAGGGTTATGACTGCTGGTTTGGGCGTAAGTCTTTTGCTAAGTCTCTCGCTATGACTCAGTCTCGCTTTTCCAGGCCGAATTCATTGTCATGGTTTGTTCTCGTCTGCATCAGGACTCTACGACAGCACTGGAGAGCACGGCGACGAGCCCGCTGCGCCGCCGCGGCGGCGCACAACTCCGCTTTCTGGCCTACGCCAAACTCCGTTTCCTGCTGCTACTCCTCCCTCCCCCTCCACTTCCTCCCTCCTGTTTCCTTTCTGCTCCTCCTCCTCCTCCTCCTCCTCCCTCCTCCCCTCCCTCTTCCTCCCTCCTCATCCTCCTCCTCCTCCTCCTGCTTCTGACTCCTTCCCTCCTCCTCCTCCTCCTCCTCCTCCTCCTTCTCCTCCTCCTCCTCCTCCTCCGCCTCCTGCTCCTGCTCCTCCTCCGTTTCTCCTACCCCCCCCCTCCTCTTCTCTCTCTCTTCATCTTCCTCGCCATCCGTCCCCAGCCCACCCTGCGAAGGGAATGCACTCTTCCCCCAAGGACATCCTCCGCCACCCCCTCGCAGGCCATACCGTCCCTGCATCTCGTCGGCGTTGCTTGCGTCGTCGTCGTGCTGCTTCTCTTTCTAATCTTCGTCCTCGTCCTCGTCCTCGTCCTCCTCCTCCTCCTCCTCCTCTTTTGGAGGTGTTCACATGTTTTCCTGTGGTAATGAAGACGTGCAACGCCCGTTCGAATCACTCGATGCCCTCCCACCTCAATCCTACTGTTGCTCCTGATCCTCTGCTCCTTCCGCAACTGCCCCATGGCCAATTCTCCGATTTGTCCGCGCAAGCTGGATACGCATCCCTCTTCCCTCGCCATCCTCCATCAGCCCGAATATGTCGAGGTCCAGGTCGCACGCCTGGGGGAGGAGGAGGAAGATGACGACGAGGACACGGAGGAGCACGAGAGAGAGAAGCGGGGAGGATGCGGAGGAGCAACGACGACGAGGGAGAAGAGGAACTAGAGAACACACAAACACAAACTGCAGAACCGTAGATCCCGAGCGGCTAGCAAATCTGTATCCGCGCCCTCGCGGTCTGGACTCCGGGACTCCGGAGGAGGAGGCCCGCGAGGCCGCGGACACTGACACTGATACGCGCTTCGCCCACGACTAGACGCCCTCCCCCTCCTCCTCCTCCTGCTCCTCCTCCTCCTCCTCCTCCTCCTCCTCCTGCGCCTCCTCCTCCTCCTCCTCCTCCTCCTCCTCCTCCTCCTCCCCCTCCTCCCCCTCCCCCTCCCCCTTCTCCCCTCCTCCTCCTCCTCCTCCTCCTCCCTCCTCCTCCTCCTGCTCCTCCCTCCTCCTCCTCCTCCTCCTCCTCCTCCTCCTCCTCCTCCTCCTACTCCTTCCTCCTCCTCCTCCTCCTCCCCTCCTCCTCCTCCTCCTCCCTCCTCCTCCTCCTCCTCCTCCTCCTCCCTCCTCCTCCTCCTCCTCCTCCTCCTCCTCCTCCTCCTCGAAGATGTCTCTCTTGGATCTGCGCTGACCCCCCCCCCTCTCTGGCGGCGCAGGGCGGGGGACGCGGTCTCCGAGGCCCCTGTGGGTGTCCCGAGCGGACATCGGGGGAGCGAGCGCCGAGAGACCCGAGCGTATATCGACCCTCGGAGACCGCGGGGCGAGGCCTCCTCAAATAGAGGCCTCCCAAATGGGACCAGAGCCCAAACTCGATCGCGTCGTAGGACAAAAAAAATCAGGGCGGGAGGTCCTTCGCTATTTTCGGCCCCTGGGGGCTCTCGCCGGGCGCTGGGACCGTCAAAACATGACGCAGGATGAAAAACCGGCCCCCGGGGAAAGGCTCGTGACTTCCAGGGACGCCGTACTGCAATAATCAGGACGTCGCATGAGTGGGACTAGATGGGGTCGGAGGATCGCGCCGCATCGCCGATGCATCACCGATGCATCGGCGATGCATCGACGATGCACCGCTAACGTCGGCGATACACCGGCGACGTTGGTGTGGAGAAGCTCGGACTCCGCATCGAGCCACATCGGCGATGCATCGGCGATGCGGAGCGGTCCTCCGACCCCATCTTCTCGGACCACATCTAGGAGGCCTATAGGTTAAAGTCCCTCGGGGCGAGGCCCGCTCCCTCGGACTGGCTGGTGAATCCAAGAATTGAGGCAAACCGACAACCTCTACTTTTGGGGGGGGGGCAAATGATGGGACACACACACATACACACACACACACACGTGATGGGCTTGTTTTCCACCACCACCACCACCACCACCACCACCACCATAATTTGGAGGGGGGAGGGAGGTAGAGGACGAGGAGAAGGAGGACGCGGAGAAGGAGGAGGAGGATAAGGAGGAGGAAGAGGAGGAGGAGGAGGACCCCCTCCCCGTCCAACTAATGGTGGTGGTGGTGGTGGAAAACATGCCCATCAACACAGGCCCTCGGAAGACGGCCCTGCCCAGCGCCGATCCAAGAGATCCCAGTTCACACACCTGGGCCCTCGGGAGACTGCCCGATCCAAAAACTCCGCGCGGATCTCGGACGATGTTTGTGCTGCCCTTCTTCGAGGAAAAGGGAAGACGGGCAGGAGAGTCGGAGTGCACAGACCAAACGTTTTACCAAACCTCCTCCCGCCTCCCTTGCCTCTAGGCCCAAGGGACCTGTCTCAGCTGTCATTGCCTGCCTCCAAGACGTTGGATGGGCGGCAACAGAGCCTTGGATATGGATTTCACCAGCGCAGCAAAGCTTCGAATTGAGGGGCTGTGACTCTGAGATGCTTATCGATTTTGAGTTAGGCGGATCACTGGATGCCCAGATATGGGGCAACGCGGCACTGCACCACCTCGGCGAAAGCTTGGAGTACAGTGCAGATTTCACGATTCCTCTTCGGCACATGAAGTGGCTCGAACGACGGAATCAATGGGATCGAGCCGCCGTGTCGCGCATGGCTGTGACTGGCAGCCTGTGGCCAGCGCCGAGGAGGTTTGGAGAGGAGTCGACCAGACCTCCCCCTTTTGCCAGCCCCTGCCTCTGCCTCTGCCTGCCTCTGCGCCCTCCTCCTCCTCCCCGCCCGAGCCTGCCGCAGGGGGGCCGCCAGCAGTGGCCCCAGGCTGCTTCGACGACGACGACCCGGATCTGACAGAGATGCTACAGTCGGGGCGTCGACCTAAGGAACCCTAAATAAGGAACGAGGCCCCTTTTTCCATAAGTTAAACTTCGATTTCCAATCGAAAACACAATGAAAACCTGAGGCAAGCTGTGAAACAATCAAGGAACACCGAGCCCCTCCCCAACGAAAAGGGTTCCTTCTTCAGCGCCCCGACTGTGGACACGGAGGCCAGGCAGGATGGCCCAACCCCTGCCGCCGAGGAGGGGGGGGAGGCTAGGAGCTGGGCCACCCCGGCCTGCCCGCGCTGCGGGGCGCCGCCGGAGACGACCGTCCACCGGCTCTGGGAATGCCCCTGCAATGTGGGGGTCGAGAGCACCCGTCCCGAGTTGCTCCAGGAAGCGACTGCAGGGTGGCAAGAGTTTCCGTGCTTCTGGTTGAGGGGGCGCCCGCCGTTGAGGTGGACCAGCGGACCAACCCTGATAGACGTTCCTAGTGATCCAGTTGTCTCCCGGAGCCCCGAGCCTGGGCCGATCGATCTGGGGGAGGGGGACGTCGTCGTCGGGGCGGATGGGTCGGGGGGGGGCCATTCTCGTCGGAGCCCAGGCTGAGGCGTTGTGGATGGGGAGTTTCCAGAACCAGGGATCACAGCCAGCTGGGGTGGGGATCTGGCTATCAGCAGACTGTGCCCCTAGCTGAATTGGAAGGAGTCATCCAAGCGATAAGACACACCAGAGGGGCTGTCACTTTTGCGGTTGACTCGTCTATAACGATACGTATCTTCCAGAGGGGCCGTAACTTTGCGCCCTCAACGTATGTTGGCCCGTGGCGTAGGTTCTGGGCGGAGGCGGGGGACCGACCGATCCGCATGATGAAGGTCAGGAGCCACACCCGCCCCGCTCCCGAACGGGAGGACGGACCGCCTGTTTTGTTCTGGCCAGCCAACGGGGCCGCAGATGCGGCCGCGGAGGAAGGAGCTCGGAGGGCCCAACTCCCTGGCCTTGTGGTCGCTGAGGTGTGCCGTGTAGATGAGCTAACGCACAAGGTGCAAGAGCACCATGTCGCAGTAGCCCTCCAAGGCCGCGATTGCGGCCGAAGCCAAAGTTAGGGGCCGTGAGCGGGCTCTCAAGGTTGACATGGCGGCGGATGTGTCGACCCATCGGGTCGTGTCGGACTCGAAGGGTGTCAGATGTGCCCTGTGCCATTCTCGACCGACGGCTGACTTGAAGAAGTTGGTCTGGGCTTCCCGCAAGGCATTGATCCCTCGCATAGGCTGGAGTTGTGCAAGGGAGTTTTCTGGTGCCAAGTCTGCGGGGCCATAGGGACGCGGGGGAAATTCCTTGGGGGAGAATGCCAACCTGAGGCGAATGGCGTGTGCTCAAAGCCCTGAAGCTCCCCCCTGGCCAGAGCCAGACATGTAAGACCGTTCTGGGGACACGCGAGGTCTGGACTTGGACAGGAGGAGGATTTGTCCATGCTGTCTACAAGCCATAGGGACGCGGGGGAAATTCGTTAAGCCCAACCTGAGAAGGCCCTGGGAACCTAGACATGTAAACATGTCCACGAGGAGGAGGAGGAGGAGGAGGAGGAGGACCATGCTGTGGCAGTGAAGCGAATCGCGCGAACGTGACCAAACAAACAGGGGGCTGGGACCTCTGGGTGCCGCCCGCGTGGATCAGGGGCCAGGCCGGCCGGCCGAATGCAGGGCCGGTCTCGCTTGCTTGCCCCCTCGCAGGCGCGCGGGTGCCCGACCGATCCTTGGCAAGGGGGCCTGGCTGCCTTGCCCCGTTGACGAAACCCACATCCCATAAGGAGGAGGAGACCCCAGGAGGAGGAGGGGGGGGGAGGAGGAGGAGGAGGAGGAGGAGGGAGGAGGGAGGAAGAGGAGGAGGAGGAGGATGAGAGAGGAGGAGGAGGAGGAGGAGGGAGGGAGGAGGAGGCGGAGGAGGAGGAGGAGGGCCCGGCGGGCCCGGTCGGCGCAATACCCGGCGGGCTGGGTCGGCGGGGGCGCGCCCCTCCCCGGGAGCGGGCCTGCGGCCTCGCCTGGACGGCCGGCGCCGGCGGCAGCTCGCTGACCTCGGGGGAGAGGCGGGACGGCCCAGGCCCCCTCGCGTTGTGAGAACATCGCGACGGGGAGGAGGAGGAGGAGGAGGAGGAGGAGGAGGAGGAGGAGGAGGAGGAGGATCTGGAAGCCCTTACCAGGCTTCGGGACCCGTCAAAAGACGACCCAGGAGGAAGAACAGGTCCCGAGGAATGGGTCGAGACCTCTTGGGGTCTGACAAAATCATGACGTCGGGGGTCTGGGGAGGAGGAAGTGGCGGAATGCCACGGAGCCAGTCCTCCAGGAGGCTTTAGCCAGTAGGTGGCGCTTTTCGTGGCCAGGGGCCCAGGCCGTAGACCCAACGCCTGGGGCTGGGGGTTCCCCTTGGTGACGGGGGGTGGGGCCCTCTCGGGTGCCCCCGGGCCTGCTTTGGGAGAAGGAGGAGGAGGAGGAGGAGGAGGAGGAGGACGAGGAGGAGGAGGAGGAGGAGGAGGAGGGGCCTCCTGACCCGCACAAGGAGCGGGCCCCCGCTCACCCAAGCGGATCACGGCGTCGGCGGCAGCAGCGGGGAGCAACAACGGGAGAGGCCGCGGAGCGGCAGTCCTCGGACTCGCCGAGACGCGGGGGGGGCGCTACGAGGGCGCGGAGGAGGATTTGTGCTCGGATTCTGCTGCTTACTCCGCTGGGGAAGAAGCGCAGGACGCCTGCCACCTCTCAAACGCAATACGCGAACACTGCGCAAGAGCTCCGGTGGTGTGCCGGCTCCCCCCGGCACGCGCGACAGCGGTGCCATCAACTTCCGAGCAGGCGCAGGGGCAGGAGGACGACGAGGAGAAAGGAGTTCGAGGGCGCTGCAGGGGGACGACGAGGAGAAAGGGACGAGGAGAAAGGGAGGAGGACGACGAGGAGAAAGGGAGGAGTTCGACGACGCTGGAGGGAGGAGGACGACGAGAAGAAAGGGAGGACGACGAGGAGAAAGGAGTTCGGGGGGTGGAAGGACCAGTGCGAACTCAAGATGCATCAACGATGTTGCGGTAAATCCTCCATCCCCAAATTCCCCCTCGTCGGTTCCTACAATAACAATTTTCATCATTGCGGGAAACGCTCCGTTGAAAGGGGAACGTCGGAGAATCCACAATCATGCCAACACCAAATTTTTGGGTCAACCCACGCCGCGAAATCAACGCGGCTGCTGCGTCCTGACAATCCGAACTCGTGCCAGAACGCCATTCTTGGGATTTCGACGCAGCGGATCAACGTGACTGTGGCGTCCTGACATCCCAAACTGTTCCAGGACGCCACTCCTGGAACTTCAGCATACGAACTCATTGGCATTGCTGCAGAACCTTGAGGCGAATGGGCGCGGCACTGAAGCGAGAGCCACATTTTGAAAGAAGGGCCGCCCTCCATCCTTGAAGCTGTTGCAGAACTTTCAAAGAGAGCGTGCGCGGCGTCAAAGGCGAGAACCACATGTCGAAAACGGCCCGTCCTGCATCCTTGCAGCTAATTAAAACTGTTAAAACCATGTGCGCGGCGCTATGGCGAATACCACATTTTGAAAACGGCCCATCTCCATTCCTGAAGCTGGTGCACATTTCAAATTTCAGGATCATCAATGGTGAAGAAATCTCACGCGGAAAACCCGGCCCGCGCCACCAGTACGTTTTGGGGTGCGAGGGAGGAGTTGTTGATAAGTAGAAGGGGTGGAGGAGGGTGCGAGGAAGGAGGAGGACGAGGAGAAGGGAGAGGAAGACGAGGAGAGAGTAGAGAATACGGTCAACGATGGACAATAACCCCTCCCTCCGGAGGGCGCTGGAGGGGATGTAGAGGGACGAGGGCCAGCGTAAACCGCGCCAGAACAACGACGCAGTCTAACGATGTTACAATAACCCCTCCCTCCGCAAGCTTCCGCTCTTTTTCAGCCCCTTCACACAATTCTATCATTGCGGGAAGACGGCCCCATTGAAAGCAAATCGAGTGAGCAATCCACAATCGATGATAAAACCCAACTTTTGGGCCAGTCTCAACGCCGCAAATCAAAATGAACACTGCATGCGCTTCTGACACCGAAATCGTGGCAGAACGATGCATTCGTGGGATTTGTGAGAGCCGCAGCTGAGATGAATCCAAGACCTCGCCAGAATCCAGTCTGAACTTCAAACAATGTCCTCCGCTACGAGCGAACTTTTGAGAGACCAGGCGCGGCGCTAAGGCGTCCGCAATCTCCGGGGGGAACTGGCCATTCTTGGGCTCGCTCCAGAGCGGGCGGTTGTGTGCCCCTGACCCAGGAAAGCAAGAGCACAGAGAGAGAGAATCCTGCAGGAATGCCAAAAAATCCTTCAATATGTTGCACACCTGAGGCATCGCATGGCGAGAGCCACAGTAGGAAAAAGAGGGGAAAAGAGAAAAGCCAGGGGAAGGAGGGTTCCCCCTCGGAAATCCCTGGGAAATCCGGGCAAGAAGGGGGAGTGGAGAAGGCGCGGAGGCGGGGGGAGGGAAGGATGGAGGGAGGATAGGAGGCAGGGGAGGGAGAAAGGCAGGGGAGGAGGAGGAGAAGGGCGGACGCCGCGACTGAGCCAAGGGAGAGAGAGAGAGAGGGTCCCGCAGCGGTCGAAACGCCGCCCGCGCGCCGGGGCACAACGGGGGCCGTCGGGATAACGCTCCTTCCTGCGACGGCTAGAGATGGGGGATGGGCCACGTCACCCTGTAGGCTTCGGCGAGTCGGCGGGGAGAAACCTGGGTTCTACTGTCGGCGACTATCGCGATGCGCAGCGACTCCTCGTCTCAACTTTCGTCGCCAGGAGGCCGATCTCGACGCCCGCGAGAACTCATTCCGCGCGGGGCTGGCCCCCGCTCCTCGGCCCGCCTCGACGCCATCCCGGCTCTCTCGCGCTGGCGCCGTCGGGAGGCCATGAGGATGTCGGCCAGGGGCGGAGCGAGGAGGAAGGGGCGCGCATCTGTCCCGCAGCCGGTCGCACCCGCGCCCTCCGCCGGGCCCTATTACCGCGAGCTAGACCTGCTGGGCCGCGGCTCAGCCCCGCCGGCGCGCCCCTGTCTCCCGCTCACGCCGCCCGAGGCCGCTCGGCCTCGCACGCGTCCACGGCGCTCGGACGGTGGGCGGGCCACCCTTTCGCAACATCGACAGGGCGACACGACATGAAGCACAAGGCCTCTGCGGCCTCGCGCGGCCAATTCAAACTTCTGGCATATCATCTCTGGCCACGTCGGGGACTCCCACCGAAAAACCCCACGCCCCAAGACCAGTTGGACGCCTCCTGCTTCCCGTCGGCCTCCGCTACCTCCGCATCCCGTCAGCGCCTTCGGCGGACCCCGAGGGCATGGCCGCGAAACTCCTCGAGCAGCGGCGCCTTAATCCTCAGCGTTTTCGACGGGGCTGGCGGAAGCCCCCCGCGCCACTGACGCCTCGTCAGTGCGCCAAGACGTCAGAGGGTTGGGGGGCATGGAGGAGGCGGAGGGGGAGGAGGAGGGGGAGCAGTGGGGCAGTGGAGCAGCTCACGAAGCCGCTCGAGACGATTAAGGGGCGACCCGCTAGGCTGGGGGCGCCCTGTCGCGAAAGCGGCCGACGCGGGCCGTGAGTCCGAAACTTCCACGCCGCGCCACGCAGGCCAGCGGCCCGGCCCCGGGCCCACGGCCCCACCCGTCGACGCTGATCACGGACTCACGGCAAAGTGCGCCGGCACGTCGCCATCAACGCCAGGGGACCCCTCCCGTCTTAGGACGAGCCCTGCAGCCCGCTCCGCCGATTCCCCGACGCCCCAGTCCCGCCCCCTTGCAAGCCCGCGCCAGGCCGACCGAGAGTCGCTGCACCGCGTGCGCTGCACAGCGCGTACAGACGCCTGACCTCACAAGGTGGCCAGGCCCTGGAGCTCGTCGCGACAAAGACTTGAGAGAGGAGAGGGTTGTGGGCAGATCTTGCAACCGAAACTCGCGCAGGGAAGCCGACAAACACATGCGCGGGGGCTTCCTCGCGCGCCGAGCTCCGGGGGCTGGCGCAAGGGACTTCTTGGCAGTAGGCGCGGCTTCTGCGAGCGCGGCCATCTTCGCGAAACAGTCGGCCCAGACAAGTTATCTATCGCCTCGCCCGAGTCGGCGCGCGCAGAAATACCCTCGTCGAAAGAACGGTGGGCCTTAGTCCAGGTAAAAACAGGTCGGCGTTCGTCAGAACTGTACAACATGCCAGACGCTACAGCGTGGCGTCAGAGGTCTAGCATGCTCGCCACCCCACGCGGCCCCATTCACGGGCGAGGCTCAGTTCCGTGACAAACTCGGTCGGCCTGGCAACAACTTCCAGCCCGCGCAGCGCAGCGCATCTTTCTGCGCGGGGAACAGTCCGAATAGGACCGCAGGCCGCCAAACATCGCTTTGAACGGGACGAGGCTTGGCGCGAGGGCCACCGCGGCCCATCCGCATCTCCTGGACTCAGGAGAATCATTGTCAACGCAAAAACCATCACCATCAACTTGTCCTGGCCGCGGGACCGCCACTGCGCCCCATTCTTTGACAGGCAGCGCGCAAGGCTCAGGGGGCCTGAACAGAGGCCTCAGAGGAATGGCGTAGAGCATGTTGACGGGGGCGAAGTCCCACCCCACGCCAGCTCCTGTTTGTCCCTGACTCCAGACATCCTTCCTGACCTGCAAGACGTCGTCGGGGTAGGGGTGTCCCTCCTCGTCTTCCTGCGGCTCATGGATCGAGCAGTAAAAAATCTCGTGCTCTACGTCCGAGGGCCCGTGGCCACAGAACTCGCTGTCCGAGTAGCCAGCTTGACGCCGTCTCCCAGACGGCCACAGACCGTTAGACTGCAACTTGGCCAGAGCACCTCGAAGACCATTGGAGAGCGGTTGCATGTGACCTTTCCTCAGAGCACGCATCCAGATGTGCTGGCGGCCACCGCCTTCTTCCCGCTGCGGAGCTCCAGGCAGGTGGCCCAGAATCCCCGACGCTGCCATCTCTCCAGGCCGGCAAAGAGGGTGCTTCCGCGTGCTACGCCGAGGTCGTCGGCGACACCCGTGGACGACGCCACGTCCCAGCACACTCGCCTCAGCGCGAGCCAAGAGTGCTGACAGCGAGCCTCTGGGGCTAGCCCAGGTAGGCTGAGAGGCACCCCTGATCTGGTCTCTCAGCGCCACCCACGCCTTTTCCTGCCGTGCATCTTCTTCAGGCGGTCCTTCTGCACCCCGCGCGCGGCTGCTGCAGCTCCAAGGTCGTGGCCAAGATGCAGCGCGTGACGCCTGCCGACAATCTTGAGCATCCTGGCGAAAGACTTGAAATGCTTGGCCGTTTGACGCGTCAAAGCTAGGTGGCCGGACTTGTCGAATTACAAGATGAGGCCCCGGCCGCGCGCTGACTCGCAAAAAAGCCCGGCACGCCGTAGCCGCAAACCGAGAGCCGCGGGGGTCTAAGCCCGCCCAACTCAAAGCCACGTCGTCGACTAGGTCTCTCGGCCGTACCTCCTTCGCAACAGTGGTGGTCAACTTGATGCCGCGCGTGAGGAAGACCACCAGCATCGTGGTGGCATGCGTGCATCCTGCCGATATACCTTGGCACACCTGCTGAGCGCGCATGCGAAGATGGAGCGCACCTGCTCGTATATCAAAACCAGCATGCATGCCAAACGCACGGGGAAGCTTGTTCGCCCTGCACTCGCTGCGGATGGCTGAATGCTTGACCATCCCGTAGCACTTCAGCATGCCGAGGAGGACGACCAACGCGCGCGTGCCAGTCAACTGCGCAGTCTCCTTCTCAAGCGCCAGGTCGAAAGCTGCATCAGTGGAGGAACGCCCTCCGATATGGCCCCAGAACTCCTCGCTGGCATTGCGACGCCCCCAACCTGCCGAAATCCGACGACGCGCTCGACCCCGGACCCGAATGAGAGTGTTGAGAAGCGCGATGAGGTGTCCCCTCCCCCCTGGTTTGGGGAGTCGCACCATCCTGGAGATGAGCCTCATCTGAGGCCAGAGCAGCAACTCCTCACAGCGGCAGAACACCATCGCCATCGCACTCAAAGCTGCGTCGGATAACTGGCCAAGCACCCGCGGCGCGATCTTGACCTGTCCCGTCCCTGTAGCCCAGCTGAAGGCACGAATTGCCTTGCGGATGTCGTTGCCAGAGAGGGGCGGGAGCGGATCCCAATCAGCGGCGTCAGGAGGAAGCTCGACGCGTTGAGCCTCATGACGTTGCCAGAAGCCACTCCAATACTCCAGCTTCCTGTCGGCGAGCTGGTAGGCATGCTGCACGCCCTCGCCGAAGTCAATGATCTCCTGGAGGGCCTGCGGCTTACAAAACTTGCGAGCGCGACTGGCTCCACCTTCGAAGGCAGCCTCTGCCCACCACTTCCAGCCATGGGCGATCTTCTGGTCGCGAATGCGCTGCATTACCTCGGCCTTCGCCAGGATCCTGTCGATCTGCTGCTCGAAATCAACTTGCAGAAAAGAGCCCATGCCGAGCCCGAAGAAATCCTTGGCGTGATCATCCAAGTAATTCCAGATACCAGCACGAGACTCCATACGAAGCAAGAAGTTCTCGAACTCCAGAGTATGTTTCGCGGTCATGGTGCAAAGCTTGTCGGATAACCTCCCGCAGGAGGAGGTCGGGGGCCACGGCGGCTGGCGGCGCGACTTCCTCGAGCCTCGCTGCGGCAGGCGGCCAGCGAGGTCGAGGGCCTCGGCTGCCCGTTCACGGAGCTCGTCAGGGGGCTGTACGCCGACATGTCGGAGCTCTCTCAACGGCCATCGCGGCCAGCGGACGACTACTTCCAGTGCTCCACCAGCTGGCGCGAGCTCGGGCCTTACCTCAATGAGGGGCACTGCTTCGTCGACGTGGCCAGTCGTGGTCTACGACACGAACCACAAGCTCATCGCTGAGGCCCTGGGCATTATCCCGTTCAGCGAGGGCCCAGAACAGCTGGCCAGGGACGGTGAGGACTACGCCATGAAGGTGCTGGCGGACGCGGTGGCGGGCGGGCGTCCTCCGTCTCTACATCGGCTGCCTGGCCTGGGCCCACATCTAGGCCTGAGCTCGACGGCAACGGGGGAGGGTGCGGCGGCCGCCAGACGTCCAGTGCACCGCTGCCAGGGCCAGGAATGCTGGAGCGCTCAAGGAGCGATGGACCCGAAGAGTCCGAGTCCGAAGGCGATGGGCGAAGAGTCCAGTCCGAGAGTCCGTCCGAAGGCGTCCGAGAGCTCAAGCCCGACGGACCCAAAGAGTCCGACGGCGATGGTGGTGAGCAGCGTGAGGCCAGCCCCTCTGGTGCGGCCAGCGGGCTGCCACACAGGCGTCGCGGCCGCGGCGAAGCGAGCCTCAGCGCGTGCGTTTCTGCTCCGCCAGAACGTCCGAGGCCTCCAGGATAATGGTCCAATAGGCCCGTCCCCAGCGCCAAGGCGAGCCCCCACGCAGCAGCCTCGGTCGCCTCCGCACATCGAAATGGACCGGGCATTTCTCCCACGGGCCGCTCTGAGGCGGCCCACGGGTCCCCCGTCCGACGGCCCTCAGAGGCCGACTGTCCTGGAGGTGTTGCCTTCCTTCGTGCTCCAGCTGGTCCAGGCCCAGCGGATGGGGCAGCAAGCCCCTGCGGCTCGCGCCCTTGCCACTGCCGCGCGGCAGAGGGCCCGCGCGGCCATGGGCCCCGAGGACCACCCTGGCGGCTGACCCTGCTGCACGCGTGCGGTTCGCTGCGCGCGGGCGCTTGGCCGAATTCGTCTTGCAAGACCTTGTTGGTCGAGTCTAGCCTCCTCCTGCTCCGCCTCCTCCTCCTCCTCCTTCTCCTCCTCCTCCTCCTCCTCCTCCTCCTCCTCCTCAATCCTCAATCCTCGTTCCTCATCCTCGATCCTCCTCCTTCTCCTCGATCCTCCTCAGTCCTCGATCCTCCTCCTCGTCCTCCTCCTGTTGCTGCTCCTGCAACTCCTCCCCGTCCTCGATCGACCACCCTCGATGTTCCTCGTCCTCCTCCTCCTCCTCCTCCTCCTCCTCCTCCTCCTCGATTCTCCTCCTCCTCCTCGTCCTCCTCCTCCTCCAGTTGTCCTTGATCCTCATCCTCGATCCTCATCCTCGATCCAGGATCCTCCTCCTCCTCCTCCTCCTCCTCCTCCTCTATCCTCCTCGTCCTCGATCCTCCCCCTCCTGCTCCTCCTTTTCCTCCCCCTCCTCCACGATCCTCCTCGTCCTCGATCCTCCTCCTTCTCGTCGTCCTCCTGTTTCCTGTCCTCGATCGGTGACGCTCGATGTTCCTCCTCTTCCTCCTCCTCCTCCTCCTCCTCCTCCTCCTCCTTCTCCTTCTCCTCCACCTCCGCCTCCTGCTCCTCCTGATGCTGCTGCTGCTGCTGCTGCTGCTGCTGCTGCTGCTGATGCTGCTTCTGCTCCTCGTCCTCGATCGACGACCCTCGATGGTCCTCCTCCTCTTCCCTGGATCCTCGGCCTCGGCCCCGCCCCGCTCGAGTCCCGCCGCTCCCGCGCCACGGGCCAAACGGGGGAGCTATGGCCTCGCCCTCCGCGAGGGACTCCAGGAGGTCGTCGTCGTCGAGGATGCCGCCCCCGGAGGGCCCAGCGGCGTCCTGGCGCGCGCTCCCAACCCCCCTCGAGTCATGAACAAATCACGACGAAAGGTCTTTCGCTATTCACGGCCTCTGTGAGCCCTCACTGGGCCTCGGGGTGACTCCGGATGAAGGCCGGTCCTGGAGAATGGGTCGAGGCACCTGGGGGTCAACGTTATGAGAAAATCATGGGGTCTGGGCTCCGGGGTGGGTGGGGGAGGGAATAGCGCCACAGGGGGAGAGGGGGGGGATGGCACCACAATGGCGCTCCTTGCCCCTCCTCCTTCTCCTCGATCCCTCCTCCCTCCTCCTCCTCCTCCTCCTCCTCCTCCTCCTCCTCCTCCTCCTCAGTCCTCCATTTCTCCTCCTCCTCCATTTCTCCTCCTCCTCCTCCTCCTCCTCCTCCTCCTCCTCCTCTCCCTCTTCGTATCGATTCTGTTCGTGCCGGTCCGAAGGCCGGGGCGGGGCGGGCACGCCGGGCGCCTCGTCGTCCTCGGCCTCGGGGGCCCGCCGCTGCGCCCCCGCCGCCCACCGCGGCCCCTCCTGGGGGGGGGCGGCGGGCAGACGCCTGGCTCCATGCCCACGACATGCTCGCGTCGTGCGGGGGCCCGCCGCTGCGCCCCCGCCGCCCACCGCGGCCCCTCCTGGGGGGGGCGGCGGCGAGCAGACGCCTGGCTCCATGCCCACGACATGCTCGCGTCGTGGATCGGCGGCGGACGTTTTCGTCGGCCCTCGGCGGTTTTGCAAGCTCGGGATGCTTCCCAGCAGCTGCGCCTCGCCGAGGGCGTTCCGGGGGTGCCCGGATCGCCCCGAACGCCCGCCGGAAGCCCGAGTCATGACCGACCCAAACACCACAATCGGCGGCGAGCGAGGGGGCGGAAGTTAGAAGGAGAAGGCCTTCTCAGAAGGCGGCGGGGCTTCTCAGAAACCCGGGCGTCTTCCGAGGAGAAGTGTAATGTGTCGTCGGGGAAGACGGGGGGAAACTTATCAGAAGGCTGGGGGTCTTCCGAGCCTTCTGAGAAGGCCTGTTCCTTCTCACTCACCCGCCGCGGGCTCGCCGCCACATGACAAAAATCATGGCGGGAGGAAATTCACGACTTTCGGCCTCTGGGGGCCCTCGCAGGGCCCCAAGATCGTACAGACCGACCGTGCATCGTGCGTCGTCGTCGTGGTCGTCGTGGTCGTCGTGGTCGTCGTCGTCGTCGTCGTCGTCGTCGTCGTCGCCGTCTTCGCCGTCGTCGTCGTCGTCGTCGTCGTCGCTGTGGTCGTCGTCGTCGTCGTCGTTGTCGTCGTCGTCGTCGTGATCGTCGGCTATCCTGCTGACACGAGACACGCAAACGAAAGGAACGAAGGACTCTTTTTGCACAGCCTGCCGCCCAGGATTTCGAACAGAGATGTCGTCTCGAGAGACGTGCCGCGCCACAATCGAACGTGGGGAAGAGCGGTGCGGGGACAGATCGTGCGGTGACCTCGGAATCCCCAACGACCTCGGCGCGGTCGCCATCGGGGCGCTCCAGCATTTCAGCTAAAGCTTGTCCACCGTAGATCGGAGAAGGAGGAGGAGGAGAAGGAAAAAAAAGAGGGAGGAGGATGAAACGGAATAGGAGGAGGAGGAGGAGGAGGAGGAGGAAAAGGTGGATGAGATGTAGGAGGAGGAGGAGGAGGAGGAGGAGGAGAACGGGAGGAGGAGGAGAACGGGAGGAGGAGGAGGAGAACGGGAGGAGGAGGCGGTGGAAGAGGAGGCCGAAGCACGGGCTGGAGCGCTACAGCAGCAGGCAGCGGAGAGCGCGGAGCGGTGCGCCTCGGTTGCGCGGCCGCCGCCGCTGCCGAACTTAGGCTCCGAACGAAGCTCTGTATCTGACCACGCGGGCGGCTGGTGCGCGGGCCCCCCCCGCGCGCCGCCACCGCGCGCAGCTCCACATGGGGGTCGCTGCTTCTGCAAGCCAAGCGGCGCTCAAGCACGCCACCAAGCCGCCCTCGGGGCCCGAAGCCAAACTCATTGCGCGTGCCTCTCAACGTCTCTCGGCTTATCTCGCGCGCTCCCCACTTTTCGACGAGTCTCGACTTCCCTCAACAGGACCTCGCGGCGCGCTCGACTTTCGTCCCCCCTCCCCCCGCCCACTGGGGCCGCCCCCATGTTGATGGGCACACTTTGCACCACCACTACCATGTG